GAATTCAACCCAGACCACAAAATGATTAAATTCATAGGTTTCAATGAGCTAGGCTGATGCCACGGCACTCACTCTAGCCCAGGCAACAGAGTGAGACTCTGTCTCAAAAAAAAAAAAAAAGACCAGGCTGAGCAAGCATGGGACCCTGTCTCTATTAAAAATAGAAAAAATTAGCCAGGCAACCAAAAATAGCAAAAAACTAGCCGGGCGTTGTGGCCCATGCCTGTAGTCCCAGCTACTTGGGGGGGCTGAGGCAGGAGGACGACTTGAGCCCAGGAGTTTGAGGTTGCTGTGAGCTAGGCTGACACCATGGCACTCTAGCCTGAGCAACAGAGAAAGAAAAGAAAGAAAAAAACAATAACAAAAAACACACTAAGCAAGTGGTACATTTGTAATTCCCATAATCCACTTGGGTGACAGAGATTTTACTAAAAATGAGTCTCAAGCTTCAAAAGGTATCAACAAAGCCCTTTCTGAAATACTTTTTTCTCTGCCTTTTTTTTTTTTTTTTTTTTAGAGATGGGGTATCACTATGTTGCCTAGGTTGGTCTCAAACTATCCCCCAACCTTGGCCTCCCAAAGTACTGATATTACAGGCATGAGGCAGGGTGTTCTGCCTCTCTGATCCTTTTTTTTAAACCTTTATGGGATGGGTGGAGAAGGGCTAATTCACCCATTTTCCAGCTGAGAGAGCAGGCCCAGGTGGTGGTTCGCCCATGTTCACATGGGAGACCTTTCAGAGCCTCTGCCTTGCACCCCTGGAAAAAAGCAAAGGCCTGTGGGGTTTGCCGTATCCTCACAGCTGTTATTCTCTGTCCTATTCACATGTCAACTAAGTGATTTCAACCTTACACTGTGTCTTGAGAAGTTAAAGTGTTACTGTTAAATAACACTTTCTTTTTGTATCTTCACTAGCCTGTAAGCTCCATGAAGACAAAGTCTAGCTCTTTTTCATCTCATATCCCTCACTGTACTTGCATGGTATTTCGAACCTAACAGGCACCTTAATAAAAATGAGTTGATTTGGTAGTTCCAACGACGAGTACCAGTTGGATCCCATTATTGGCAGTGTGTCCAAGGGAACAGATGTTCCCATTCAAATCCATGAAACTGGAAACATTAAAAAACAACAATCATGACATTGATTGATAGTGATGTTTACTGTGTCAGACTGTTTAAGCTCAGCTATAAAATAGACTCTCATACTGTCATCTTTACATTTTGATTTCAAAGATTCTCAAACATTTAAATACTGTCACTTGATTCAGATCCCAATTCTTGCTTGATGTACTGTTAATATTTATCAAATTACAGCCCTGTTCCTTTGAATTTCACACTCAAAACCTCTCCTTCCTGGGAAACGGTACCTCTGGGTGCTTTGAAGATATTTTTGGTCTGTTATAAGAAAATACTTATTAGCCAGCAGGGCATGCACTGGTAAGGGAGACAAAGGGAGGCTGGAGAGAGCAGCGTGGAGAGGGGTGTCTTGCTGAGCCATCTGTCTTTCCTCATTGCCTAAATACCCAAGGTAACAGAAGGGTCATCCTTCCAATTGTTTTATAAAAAGCTACCTTAGAACCCGAAGTATAATCCTGAGGGCAAATGCATCTTACCGAAAAGCTGTCTTTTTTATTTGTCTAATTCAGGTCCGGAGCAAGCAGAGCCACTTTCTTTATGAGCACCCCAGGTTTATTTCGTTTTCCTGCACCCCTGTCCAGAATACGCACAGTGCCATGGGGACTCCAGCTTTGGGAGAAGCTGACATTGTTATCCCCAGGAATGGCTGTCACTCCAGTCCCAATGGCAGGCAAGAAGGATTGCCCTGCTCTGCTTTCCCTGGATGAGAATGAACTCGAAGAACAGTTTGTGAAGGGACATGGTCCAGGGGGCCAAGCAACCAACAAAACCAACAACTGTGTGGTGCTGAAGCACATCCCCTCGGGCATCGTGGTGAAGGTAGAGGAACACTGCTGCCGGGGAGAGGCCCGGCCTGGGGCTTCTGCAGCCACAGTAGAGCTCGCTGAGTGCAGATGGTGCCGGGCTGAAGTGCATCCTCCTCCTGGCATAGGCCGCCCTCTTCTAGCCCAGCAGCAGAGGGCACTCGGGATCTCATCCCATGCCCCAAGGCAGTCCTCCCTAAGCCAGAATCTCCACACAGCCTCAGAAGCCTGGTTCCAGGATCCTCTGGAGCCAGGGTACTGCTGCCATCCTTGAAGCTGGCAGACAGCGCTGGTGTCTGGCTGCTGCCCGGGAAGCAGGGTCTTGACAAAGCTAAGCAGTGGCTGATAAAGGCAGGTGCCTGGGCGGCACGTCCTTTCAGAGCTTCTCCAGCTGCAGGATGGCTGCAGAGCTCTGCACACTGATGTGGGCGCCAAGTCCCTGAGCAGGCAGCGAGCAGGCCTGGGTTGCCAGCTAGCAGGCTCAGCCCCTAGTTGACCTGGCTGATTGACGTTAGGATGGCCACATCTTCCATGTCCCCGTCTCCTTTTGGTAAATGTCAGTGATACTCCCCTTCTGGAGAGAGGAGGCTGACGGGGAGCTCATGGAGGCCGGCCATTTTCAGCCTCAGAAGAAAAAATGCTGTGCACAGCTATCGGAGTCCTCCTCCTTTATATAAAAACAAACCTCTGGCCAAAAAATCACCAGCCTTCAACAAAACCTGAACCCCCAGAAAGTGCTTTATACCTCTTCCTGGTTTGGTGGTAGTAACCCCACTGCCTCGGAAAGACAGGCCCGTCAGTGCTCCTGCAGATCCATTCCGCTTCACGCGCACCACTAGAGGGCCCAGAGGCAGCACGAGCCTCGAGGGGCAGCAGAGAAAAGTGGCACAGGCAGGTTTTCGTGTGCGACAATCCTGATAGCAGATACGTACAGATCATGCGAACGTGTGGGCGGCACTATTCCGAGCAGCGTCAGCTCTTTCAGCACTCACAGCCCCATGGCCATGATTTTCATCATGGCACAGATGTGCGGTCGGAGGCACAGAGAGGTTAAGTAACTTGCCCAAAGTGTTGCAGCTCTTCTGGAATTTGTCTAGCAGGTTTTCCAGTCCTCACCGGAAGACCCAAAAAAAAGTAACCTGCCCAAGGTCCTACCGCTTATAGGAGTCAACTCAGACCAAACCCAAAGTCCATGTTCCTAACAGACGTATTTCACTACCACGTTTTTGAGCCAGAAGCTTATCATTTAAAACCTGGATCACTTTTCTTTTCCTCCTTGAAAAAAAGAAATCAGAATAACAGAATTCTGAAACCTGACAGTTAATTTTTATTTAACCTATTTTATAACTTTTTCCAAATTTGCTTTTAGTATTACTTCACCCTAATTTCAGAATTTCTTTTATCAAATAGCTTTGCAAGACACTTGCCCATAAGTAAGGCATTATATAATGAATGTTATGGCTGACTAATATAAAGATGCTATTTTCTTCCTTCAGATAATTTTATGTTTAGGAATGGTGCACACAAAGTGGTTGTCCCTGGCCACAAGCTACATATATCAGTTGATGTTTTCATAATTATTTTGGGACTTTAAGTTATTTGAAGGCTACTGTTGCTTCTAAACAAAAATAACACTCCTCATTATAAAACAATCACAGCAAAAGCCACATAATACAGCTAGGGTACAGAATAAGGCAGAGGCCACAGGGCAGGGGCAGGAAAGAGTCTGGTCTTCACTTTGTCACTGACTCAGGGGGACTCCTGACAGGTGGCTTTGCCTTCTGGGCCTGTCCCTATCTGCAAAGCAAATAGGTTGAATTTAGTGACTTCTGAGGTCCTGTCCATCTCTTAAATCCTGTGGTTTTCACATTATAAAATATTATCTCTTACAGTGCCATCAGACAAGATCAGTTGATCAAAACAGAAAGCTAGCTCGGAAAATTCTACAAGAGAAAGTGGACGTTTTCTACAATGGTGAGAACAGTCCAGTTCTCAAAGAAAAACGAGAGGCAGAGAAGAAAAAGCAAGAAAGGAAAAAAAGAGCAAAGGAAACCCTAGAAAAAAAGAAACTACTGAAAGAACTATGGGAATCGAGTAAAAATGTGCACGGAGACGGGAACTGCAGGACGGACAAAGCTGCCAGGGAGTAACGGCGGTGAGTTCCGTCGCCAGCATCATTGCAGAACTTTTTTAAAGAAATATTTCTGACAGATTTAAAAGACATCAAAGTGTTTTGAATGGTGGACTAAACTACCGGAAATAGAAACGCACACTTCCAGAGTAAAACTGTAAAGAAACACAAGGAAGCCATTACTGTGAAAGGACAGTAGCAGCTTTGGGGGAAAAAGGGGCTGTCACAGTGATGCGGCTCTAGGGGGCTGACGGTTCTAGCTCTTCACCTGCGCAGCAGTCAGAAGGGTGTCCCCTTATTTTCAGCTGCACGTTTGCTCAGGTGATTGTTTTATTTATTGTATTATAAGTTAAAAATAAAAAATTTTTTGAAAAAAGCAATAGTACTAGTAAAGTCCTTTTTTTTTTTTTTTTTTTAAGAGAAAGAGTCTCACTCTGTCGCCCAGGCTGGAGTGCAGTGGCACGATCATAGCTCACTGCAGCCTCCAACTCCTGGGCTCAAGCGATCCTCCTGCATCATCCTCCCGAGTAGCTGGGACTACAGGTGCGCACCACCAAGGCTGGCTAATTTTTTTTTTCATTTGTTTTTTTTTACAGAGACAGACAGGGTCTCACTATTACCCAGGCTGGTCTCAAACTCTCAGCCTCAAGCGACCCTCCTGCCTTGGCCTCCCAAAGTGCTGGAATTACAGATGTGAGCTACCACGCCCAGCCAGTAAGATCCATTTTTCTGGAGAATTGAGTCAAACATTAATAGCATTTAGTGGCATTTTGTCATCCACTGGGAGGCCATTGCTCAGTGACACGCAGATGTCAGTTATCCTCATGTCAGATTAAGAGAATAAAGGCGAAAACAAAATGGTGAAAGAATTAAAAGTCAGCAAGTTACTTGCCCATTTACTCCATTAGCTTAATAGACTGTATGTTGCCAAGTCTCTAATGTAGAAATACACACATTTATTCTCTGTATGTTGATTTGCAAGTAGATTTATAAGAGATGATGCTTCCATAACCTGACTTGTGAATTTGTATCACTCAAGCTGGATTTGACCTTACTATCAGGTTTTTTTTTTAGCCACGCTTAATCAATCACTTGGCTTGTTAGAACTCATCTGGAGTTCACATATAAAACAGGTAGGGAAAAATACTAGGCGGTGAGAGGACCTGCCAGACGCAGGACCTGCCTCATTTCTGCAGCAAAGACCAGTTCATCCCGTAAGCCAGATACTCCCAAGTAAACCTCTGTCTTTGAGGCTGCCAGTTAAGGCTCTCTCGCCATGGAGTGGCCTGCTTTGGAAACTTAAGCACTCTGCAGTTCTCATTCTGTACTGCCGGTTGGAGTGTCTAGGACCTTTCTCCATCCCAACCTCCCTTGAGAAGATACAGTCTTGATGACACACAAGAAACCAATAACACTGGGAAGGGAAGTGTGGAGCTCTAGACGAGAGGGACAGACACTTCAATCTGTCTTCTGTGGCACCCTTGCTGTTTCCCGCCATGTGCACAAAGACACAGAGACACCCACTCCCCAGAACCCATTCCTACCAGCCTCAGACGTCTCCTAGCTGGAACCTTGCCACCTGCCTGCATCACACACAGCTTTCATTGTCTTAGTCCACCCCTCACCACGGCGAATCTTCATTACAGAGGACTAGTGCCTAAGGTAGAAAGTAGAAATTAACTCAAAATCCCCCTGGAGGGCACCAACAGAGACCACCCTGCGGATTCTTGACACATCTAGCACGACCCAGTCTTTCCCCAGCACCAGAGCAGGTAATTCTTCCAGTGAGCACCAGATGAAGGCGCTAGCTTGAGTTTAGGGGCCACATTTTTATGAAAGAGATTCCTACAGCACCCAGGAAATGCTCACAGGTAAGCACCCATGAACTAAGAGTGGCCTCACTGGGGGGTCATGGGCCAGGTCAGTAACTCTGCTGTCATCATCTTTCTTATTTTCTTTCCTGGCAGACACTTGCGCTTTCTGCAGTTAAAGTACACCCACAAAGCCACTTCACTTTATCCCTGCCCCTGACAGCAAACACTTGCTTTTCCTCAGCCAACTGTGCTAACGATGTCATCACACTAAATGTGTCTGGGCCAGGTGGGAAAACACCCTTTGAAAGGTAGCTCCTACCTCTCATTGAGGAGCTGTTCTATTTTTATTTATTTTTAGAGACAAGGTCTCACTCTGTTGCCCAGACTGAAGTATAGTGGTGCAATCATAGCTCACTGCAGCCTCCTACTCTTAGGCTTGAGTGATCCTCCAACCTCAGCCTTCCAAGTAGCTGGCTGCAACTATAGGTGTATACCACCATGCCTAGCTAATTTTTTAATTTTGTTGTAAAGATGGGGTCTTGCTATGCTGCCCAGGCTGGTCTCGAACTCCAGGCTTTAAGCAATCCTGCCTCAGCCTCCTGAGTTACTGAGAGAGGAGCTGTTTTTAAAATAGCACTTAGGAATTCAAGGAACCCACATTTTAATACAAATTGTTAATGAAAATAAGCTTTATTACATCAAGTAATAAATACATACAAAGATGCAAACAGTTTAGTCATTTTCTTCCAGATGTTTTTATCAACTTACAGTAAACGCAGAACTGAAATCTACTTACAGTCTTAGTACGAAAATTTTCGGGGGTCCTTGTTAGGTTTGGTAGGTTGCTCTTTCTTCTGTATTTATAACTTGTGCATTTTTAAAATTGACTTCGAAGCACTAATAGTCATGCAAATGCTTAAGCAAAAAAGAAGTTACATTAAGCAGATTCTACAGTGTGGCAAACGGACCAGCCACTGAGGAGGCGTGCTGTCAGTGTGCGTTAAAAACAATCCCTAGAGCTGTGTTAGCTTACGAAAAGGAACAAAGAACAACGTGGGTAACAGAAATGTACTCAGAAGAGAAGATTAAAGGGAGACCCGGTGTCTTGGGGGCAAACTAGTTTGCTGTAAGATAACTTCACGTGCATCTTTTAAATCAATGCTTACCAAAAAAAAAAAGGGTAATTCCTAACTACTTAAAATGCAAATCCTAATTAATCGCAAAATCTTTTCTCAATCTTTGAGACTGTAGGTTCAGAGTCAAGTGAACCATGGGAGGAAAAACCAAACTGCTATCATTTTGAAAACAAGAGTTTCATCTGAACAGGGGAGATGAACTGTCACTTCTCATCTTGTAAAAAGACAGAAAGCCTTCAAAACCAACCAGGCGGCTAGGATCTGGCATTCCGTTCCGTCTCAGCCAAGCACTCCCGAACCAGTCCTCTAGCGTGGATGATGCCTGAAAGAGAAGCAGAGGCCGGGATTCACCCACTTCTCTCGGCCCAGCCAGAAGAACCCATTCCGGAACACGAAGAGGGTCCATCCTTCTACACCCTGGCCGTAAGCCCTCAGACTGGAAGGGAACTCAGGGCACCTGCGTCCGAACGACCCGAAAGGACACTAACAAATCCCATCCCACCTCTCAAAGCCCTCCCCTCCTAGCCAAAACCCTCACGTCTCCCTAACACTTTCTTCCTGTGCCCAAGCTGGGACCAGCAAGCTCTCTTTTCATGACGTTCTGTCGGATGATGGGAATAAATGTGTTTCCACCCAAGTTCTTTAAGCCTGACCCACTGAAGATCTTCCTCTGGCTACACGATAGTCTAAGTTCTAGAAAGGGCTTGACTGGTGTCAGGCAAGAGAATACTTCCAGCCTGCACGTGTTAGGGTACGAGAGGACGAGGCTCATGTGTGTTCAACTCTGTGTCTACTGTGAGTGACATCCTTCCCTCAGGATGTGGATATTTCAGCCACCTGCTGCCCCAAGAATCTCTTTTATGGTTATCTTTTTTCCTTCTTTTTATTTTTGCTTCCACTGAGCTCCATGAAATATTTATCTCATTTTATTTATTTTTTATTTTTATTTTTTGAGATGGGGTCTCTATGTTGTCCAGGCTGGTGTCAAACTCCTGGCCTCAAGGGATCCTCCTGCCTCGGCCTCCCAAAGTGCTGAGATTACAGGCATGAGCCACCGCACCCAGCCTGATCTCATTTTAACAGACACCAAGAATTCTGTTCCAGTACGTGACTCCCAGAGGCCACTGTGAATGACATCCCCACATCACCAACAGCTAACACTTGGGTGTCCACACCTCACAAATCTTCTCTTAGAGCCTCAGAAAGGGCCAAACAGCAAATATTTTAAGATTTTCAGGCCACACAGTCTCTGTCACAACTACTCAACGTGACCATCACATATCGTGAAAGCAGCCAGTCTATAAACCATGGGTGTGGCCATGTTCCAACAAATCTTTGTGGCCCCTGAAGTTTGAATCTCACTAATTTTCACATATCCCAAATTCATATTTTTTTCAACCATTAAAAACTGTAAAAACATTCTTGGTTCACGGGCTGTCGTTTGCCAACAGCGCTCCTGAGCCCCACTCCCTCTGTGACCCATCTCGGCCTGCTATGACCTAAGTTTGGTTAGCTCGGGCCTGGCTGGCCGGAGGGTGGCACTAGATCTTCCCAGTCACTGAGTAACCAGCAGCTCGTATCCACTTGAACCACTCAGTTTTTTTTGGTGACTACAAATCACTTGTTAGACCCTGGGGTTCAGCATTTTCCCAGCAATTCCCATTCGGTGACCAGCGCTCCAGTTCCCACTGTCTCACTCCTTTGACTTCCAAGCAGTGGCCCTGGGAGCAGAGCGATGCCCGTCGGACTCCAGGCTAGCTCAGGGCTGGCCTCCGCGCCCGTCCCCAAGCCCTCTTCAGCCACACCTCTCACCCGGCCAGTCCCCTTCCTCCACGCTGCCCTGCTTGTACCCAGTCTAGCCTCGCCATCAGTCGACGTCTTCACAAAGGTTTCACGAACACCAGTCAGGAACGTCCCTGCTCTCGGCAGCAGCCTGTCCTCCACTGGCCCAGGCGCCCCTGGGGACTCACGCCCTCAACAGCAGCCCCCACTGATGCCACAAGCTTCCTCTTTCCTCTTCTCCGAAGTTGCTTGTCTAGTCCCCAAATCCTTCCTAGTCTCAAATGAGCTCACAGGCCACACCTCTGAACTGCCACCTTCTAAAACAAATCCTCTCCCCTCCACCCCCTTTCACTCCAGGAGGTGGCAACCCAGTTGACGTCCTTCCAAAATCAGCGGGTCAGTCACACCTCGCTGTCCCCTGTGTTCTGTGATCTCTGCCCGCCCGCCCTCCCTCTTCAATCATTACAGAACTTCAACGTGCTTTCCCCTTTCCCTCCCCAGACCCCAGTACAGACCACACGCTTCCTTGGGCCCCCGCCCCAAAGGGGACAGCGGAGAGCAGTACAGGGACCGATGAACCCTGAACCCCGGGCCATGATCAGCCTCTGTGGTCACAGCTGCCCAGAGGAGAAAGCTGCTGTATCTGGCTCCCTGCCACGGCCAACAGGAGTGCAGGGTCTGGGGGCTCCAAAGGTTCCCTCGAGAGCCAGCAGACTGGCCTGGCGGCACGCAAGGGTGAAGGGGCTCACTGGCGGGGGCTGCCCTGCCTGAATGCCCCAGGGCTCTTCCCGAGGCCTCCACCCCACACAGCGATTCTGTAACAAAACCGGAGCCAGGAGCGCCAACGCATCGGGGACGCCTCCCTAACCCTCGTTTTCCCCAGAAAATCTTTCGCGGCCGCGGTGTCACCTGGTGGGGGCATCTGGCCCTCGGCTTACCGCGCTTCAGCCTCTCCATCGCGCTCTTGCTCCCCGCGTAGGTGGGTCTGATCTCTTTCCCCAGCTCCTCGATGATGGCCAGCAGCTCCGCGTACTTGCTCTGGGGCACCTGGCTGCTCCCGGTTCCCTGGAGTCAGAAAGAAATGAATTCAGATGGGCCGAACCCCACCCCAAGCCCCGGGCAGGCCGCTGGGGGGCAGGCAGCCGGCCTCAGGGTCCCAGCACTGGCGCCTCAGCTGGGATGCGGCGCGTCCCACTCTGGGGGACAACTGCAGGTCAGGGAAGCTGGTGCTCACCCTCCCACCCTCGTACACTCAAGGAAACCACCCAGCAGTCTCTGGAAAGCCAGTTTATCATCTCAAACAGAAAAGACAGAACAGCTGGCTTATCTCAACAAAAAAAGTTCAGAGAATTTCCCAGGACAGGATGGATAAGGTACATCCAGGGCAATGGAAGCCACACCTGGGGCCAGCAGGACGGAGCCTGGGGTGTGTCCCATTCACTCGTCCTCCCACCAGCAGGGCCCAACCCACAGAAAACCTCTTCCTCCGACCACCACCCAGAGCCCCCAGTCAGCAAGGCTACCAGCTCCCCCGCACACTCTGCCGCCTCTGTCCCCTGGCCTCATGCTCCGGCCTCCCGTCCTGGTCCTGGTCCTTTTGCTCAGTGCCCTGGCGCCACCGCCTCCAAGCCTGGCGGTCCTCCCTCCTATCCTGGAGCCACCGCCGCCGCGTGGCCATGGCGTTGCGCAGCCGCTCCGGGCTGCACTTCAGCCCGTCCTCCCGCTGTCGCCGCTTCTTCAGCCGGTCCAGTTGCTGGTCCCGCGCCTGTTTCTTCTCCTGGGACAGGACGGCCTGGCGGGCCATGGCTGGGGAGGCACAGGGCGCTGTGGCTGGAAAGCCACAGCCACGAAGAGCAGCCTCCATGGCGACCTCAGAACACTCGTGGCAACTTCAGAACACTGGCACTGGGCCTGGCCCAGGGAGAACCTTCCAGCTGACAAGGACCCCAGCTCAGAGGACTGTGGCCTGGCCAGGGGCGGCGTGTCCCTGGCAGATTCGGCATGTGGCTGAAGTGGTGGCTTGCCCCATTCCTGCTGTTCATCAGCCGCTGAGGCAGGTACTAGGATCACGTGGGACTGATAAGACTGAGCCCTCGGGGGGCTGCCACGTGGGGGTCACAGTCTGGAAGGTGGTGGAAGCAGGTACACAGCCTCGCACATCTTAACTCCTTTAAGACATGGGCCGTCCTCCTTTCCCGGGGCCCACGCCACATGGAGAGCAAGTGGGACGGCCCCTCTCCTCCGTCCCGGCTTAGAGATCCAAGGCAAGGTCGGACCTCACTTGCTCAGGAAAGAGGAGGGAGGGGGCCCAGTGGCGAGACAGGTGGGGTGGTGGGCGCGGCAGCTCTCAGGGCTGCCGCCGGTTCCCTGTGCTCTCCTTCCCTGCCCGCCTCGGCATCCCCATGAAGCCCAGTGCGTGTCGCCCTTCCACTATGATGTCTCCTGTCTGAACAGGTGCCAAGCCCGGGCCCCGGGCCGAGGAAGTGCAGGTGACTGCCCCACGGTCCTTTCCGCTCCTCTGTTTTCTACCGACTCCGCTCCCAGATGGTGGGGAGCACATCTCCCCCCAGTGCCCAGGTCCCCTAGCCCCCACTGTGCCACCACCCCCATTGCCATACCTGGGTGTAGCCTAGGGACGGTGGCCCGTAGTCACTCAGTAGCTGGCGGTACTGTGAGGAGGTCGCCATGCTGGTGGAAGGCGAGTGGACGCTCCCAGCTACAGAGTAGGAAAGAGGGGTCAGGAGTGTCACAGCCAGGGCTGGCTGTGCCCAAGGTGAGGACACGGGGTCCTGCAACAGTGCCCTGCCCAAGACCCATGCCACCAACTGTGGTCTTCTGTCCCCACACGACAGACAACCCTGCTCTTGACCTCCAGTTTGACTGGCCGTGGCCCTGATGCCTGCCAAGAGGACTGACAGTAAATACGTGGCCAAAACACACCCGCCCGCCCCACCTCTGCGGCAGACACAGGAAATCAATCACACAGCTCCGTCCCCGCCATCAGAGCCTTCCAAGCAGGAGGGACCGGCACGAAAGATGAAAGCCACTGCTGTTTTCGGCCTAATCCCTGCCTGTCCCCTTTCCGTGTCCTGCTCCCCAGAGGTTGATAACCTAGAGCCACATCACCGCCACAAGAGCCCACCCACTCCCCAAGGCGGGTCCACACCTGGACCGAGATTCTGAACACACGGAAGCCTATTTGCTCCTAGGTGCCCAGCTCGCTGCTGGACTCACTGGGAGGAAGACAGGGGAAGGCCCTGGAGGACGGGGACCCAGCCCTGGCCACAGACAGGTGCGCTGCACACAAAACCAGCAACCTGGACCACCTCAGCCTCTCTGTGTGCCCTCAGACACACCCCTCAACCTCTGTCACCCCCTCCGAGGGGACAGTCTACACTCCCAGGGCTCCGCACCCCAAGAGAGGAGGGTTAAGGCCCCACGTATGGGAGGCAACATTCAGGGACGCTGTCCAGCGCCAGCAGTCAGAGACCAAGCCGGGCCCAGGGCCCAGCTCAAGACGCAGCCTCCTGGATGCGGGTGGGGAGCCGGTGGCTGGGAGCATGCAGACCCACAATGGCGTCCCAGTGGCCATTAGCGGGTAAAGGACATCCTGCAGAATTACAAACAGCGGTAACCATGGAGAATTTACCTAGTCCTCCTCGGCAGCTGCCCGCCTGCCGCCCCCAGAGCCACACAGTCTCTCTCTCGCACACAGCGGGCTCCACAGACTTGGCCCCGGGGATGGACAGCTGGTGCCAGTCTGGCCAAACCAACCAGCTGCTCATTTGGTGTGGGCGAGGGGAGGGGTAGGGGAGGAAGGAAGTTCAGGAGCTCGGGCTGTTGGAGCTGGGAGGGGCCCTGGAGAACCCCAGACCCAGGCCCCTCGCTGCACAGAGAGACGCAGACCCGAGGGGGCCTGACCGCAGGCCACATGGCACAGAAGAGGCTATTGCAGAGGGCTGGCTACCCCACCACCGGCCCCTCGTCCAGGCGCTGGGACAGCACCCGAGATGTCTCCTAGGTCTCGGGCCTGCCCTGGACTCCCCTGGGGCCCTGGCGGATGCCGAAGCTTGAGCTGCCCGCTCAGGAAACGTGGACTTGGATCCTGAACCAGGCAGAGCACTGGGTCACTCTGCGCCTCATTTTCCACGATCCCAAGAGGGTATGATGAGACACCTATGCCACGGGGACATGCTGCTCAGGATGGGGACAAATTACAAGCAGGCCCTCCGTCCACAGCCATAGCAGCCGTGCTGCGGCCGGCGTGCAGGAATGGCACAGGGTGGGCAACCCCAGTTCCTGCACATCTTTCAGTGTGGCAGTGGGCGTGGCCTGGATGGCTGGGGATTTGCACGCCCAGACTTGGGTTCCAGTCCTGACAGCTACGAGCAGCGACAAGTGACAGCTCTCCGGGCTTGGGAACGCATAGCCCTTCAGGACATTTAGAAGATTCCAGAACACTGGCCACTTCCCACGCATCCTCTGTCCATCCTCAGCCCCCTCTCTTCTCCATCTCCCCTCCTGGACTAGGAGCCAGTCCAGGCCGTGTGACCTGAGACAAGGCCCTTCCCTCTTGGGGCCTCAGTTTCTCCCTCTGTTACAGGCAGTGCTTCCCATCAGAAGGTCTAAGGCTCCAGAGCCTGCCGTTCGATGGTTCTGGGGCTAGGTTTTGGGGAGCTAAGAGACTGGGAGGAGGAACAGGCAATCGCCCCATTTTGGCTGGGGGAGAGTAGAGCAATAGCTCAGAGCTCAACTCTCCCATCACCCAGTAAAGTGACAGGTGACCCCGACTCTGTGTCAAGGCTGGTCCGTTATTCAGTGTTGGGGGGTTCTCGCCCTGGGGAGAGTTGGCAAAAGGGCCCTGAGTTCCACTCATGGCCACTCCTTGCCGCAGACACAGGGACCGGGACACAGAGACCACGTCAGCACAGCCGTCTCGGAGCATCTCAGACAATGAGCGCAGTGTGCAGGGAGCCGGAGGGGTTGGCAGAGGCCAGGAAGCTCCTGGGGCCAGGCGCAGCTCCCCGCCCCCACGCCAGACAAAGAGCGCCTGGGCCTGGGGAGCTGGCGGCCTTCCCGCCACTTGGGGCGCCTGGGGGGGCTCTTGGGCAGGGGAGGCGGGGGCTTTGTCTAACTCCGCCACTGCCACCGCCGGCCAGGCCGCGGGTTGGCTTGGCAACCCGTGAGCAGGAGGCAGGGCTGGAGGGCGTGAGGGATGATGACAAGGAAGCCGGAGGAGCTGCAGGCAGCAGAGAGTCCATCTTGGATGCAAATGGCAGGAAAAGAGCCAGGCTTTCTGCAAAGGGGCCCATGGGGGCGGGCAGCCCCCCACCAAAACACCAGAGCTCTGGGAACCTCAGCACTCCTGGAATTCCCCCCAGGAGAAAGGAGACCTGGGTGCAGGTGCTGGCCTGCCCAGAACAGAGCTTCAGGGGCCCCAGGGGGTGCCTCGTCCCTGTGACCCCAAACCCCAAAGGTCTCAGTCTAGGGCTTGTGCCCCGGTGACTCGAGGGGAGGCCTGAGATCGGGCCTTGTCCAGGGGGGCAGCGCACCCCCAGCCCCCAGACTCGGGGAGGAAGCCTGGAAAGATCCTACCTGGCAACAAAGCCCGTCTTTGTAAGGTCTGCGGACCCCAGAGGAGGTGAGAATGTCTCAGGAGACAACAGTGGCTGTTTCTCTCGGAGCTCAGAGCCCACGTTGGAGCAATTCAACTCTCCCTCGCGCCCTGACTCTTAACCCTTTCCGACCCCTACACCTCCGTGTCCAAAAAGATTTTTTTAAATCTCGCTTTTCCAGGTCCCTCTTCGGATTTTTGGAATTGTGGCGTCAACATTTGGAGACAAGGCCCAAAACTTGAGCCTAACAGCCAGCGTGGCATTTGTGACCAGCAGGGCCAATCCCCTCCCCCCTCGAGGCTTCCTGCTCCCTAGGCTCCCCCACTCAACGCGCCTTTTGGGAAGTCCGTCCCCAACCAAGTGTATAAAGAACAGGGGCCCTGGTGAGGGCACAAAGCCGGTCACCTCCGAATCCCACAATCTTACTCCCCCTTGGTCCCTGGGGCGAGTCCCTGGGTGCCGCCTGAAGCTGCCTGACAACTTCTGCAGGAGTTTCCTGGGAGCGCCCAGCCCCAGCCCAGCGAGGGAGAGCGTCCCCCTCCCCCTCCCGGCTTCTGCAGCGGGGGCCTTCGAGGCCCAGACTTGGGGCTCTCGCATGGGGGGGGGGGTCCGGGTGAGCTGCCGCCCCCACCCACCTCCCACGGGCCCAGAAGCCCCCGGTCTCCAACTTCTTTCACTCCGCACAAGCCTGAGGGGATCCCCGCGTGCCCGCATGAGGCGACGCTGCCCCCGCGCGCCAGGCCCAGGCCCCCTGGCCCACCGAGTCCCCTGCCCGCCGGCCACCCCGTCCCCGTCCCTGCGGCCCCGCGCCCTCAGGGCCCGCTGCAGCCGGGCACCCCGCCGCCCCCCGCCCTGCCCACGCGGGGCCCGGCCCTGCCCACGTGCACCCAGCCCGGCCTGACCCGGCTCCTCAGGGCGGCCCGGGCCCCGCACCCCGCGCCCCGCGCCCCACTCCTGGCACCCGGTGCGGCCCGGGCCGCTCCCGACTCCCGCCGGCAGGGGCCCTCGCCGAGCCGCCCAAAAGCCGGAGGAAAAAAGAGCCGAGAAAAAGCCTCCCCCGCCCTCGCCCTCGCTCGCCGCGCTCCCCGCGATCCGCGGCCGCCGGCGTGGGGGGGACCGCGGCGGCCGCCC